ACACTAGGTGGGGGCGGACTGACGTCACTTCCCCTAGCAACACTGCCGCTGAGCCGGGGCCGATGAAAACAAAGCGTTTAATCTGTCGTCCCTTCTTCCAAATCAGTGGGAATGTCTAAAAATACATTATATTAATTCATTCATTATGCAAAAATCATTAAATGATTTTCATTTTGGAAATACTCATAATAACAGAAAAACTGGACAAGTGAAGTGTTACATGTTACATGATGAGGTAAACACAATAATGAAGTTTTATTATATTTCGGCTATAAAGTATGTCCTAGTACACTTATTACCATGGCATGCAGTACATTTACCTGAAAGATGATCCTTAAATATTTTTATGGTTACTAGCTTTCCTCTTTCCTTGGACAACACACTCGTCATCTCTTGCAGATTCTACGCCTGTGGTCACTGGTTTCATTATACGCATCACACTCGTTCCAGCTTTCTATACAAACAGAAGTAAAACAATCTTGGCTACTTCTTTTTTCAATTTAAAGAATGTACAAATGAAATGGATAGCCTATAATCATCATCTTCAGATTTTCACTCAAGCCAGTCAAGGATGTGATACTGATAGTAATATGATACATTATTGTGTATAACAAAAAAGATGTAGGCCTATTGATGTCATAATAATGGTACATATATATATATATATTATATATATATATGGTATAGTGGTGTCGTAGGTGTGATCGGTGAATGCATAGATCAAACAAACTATTCAAGCAAGAGTGAGTATACTAGTCAATATTGTAGCACACCGCAGCACCACTTGCTGTAAATGCCGTTCAAATGCTCATCTGCAACCCACAAGTACACCGCACGCACGCCACGTACTGTGCACAAACAACAAGAATAAGAGAGAAAACTCTAATTCTTGTTGTTTGTGCACAGTGGTGTGCGTGCAGTGTACTTGTGGGTTGCAGATGAGCATTTGAACGGGATTTACAGCAAGTTATCGGCAATAATATGCGAAATAGAGTAGAGAAACATTAAGACTTTGGATACATTTCGTGTTTATTTACCATTATTTTTTTGTATTGAGACGTTCCAAGTGCGTGTGTGCGCGTCCTCTAATTTATTGGAGTAATTAAGTGTGATGTAAGATATAGATATCTACTCTAATTCATGTAGTAAGAGAGATACAACAAATATGAGTTCATTTTAATGATGTTAGTTGTTGATAGTATATGGGGAATTACTTTTTTGTTTATTATTCCTATTAGCAAAGTACACATTTATGACAAAAAATCATGATTGTCTTGTCAACTTGTGAAATTGCTCGCCCTATGTGATTGAGAGAAATTGAAAAATATGGTATTAATTTGCCTATATTTACTTTCCGAAAGGTGTAGCACCCTACCCAAAACCCCCTCAAGGATTTAAGTGGAAAAAGACTGACAAGGAAGATCAGGACTGGATGCAGCCTCAGTCACCTGAAATGTCAGACGAGGAAGATCAGTCACCTGAAACATCACCTGAAAAGTCTGATGTTTTGAGGCCAAGTAAGACCTACCTGTGTTTGTAGCTTAAAATTAATTGTAATTGATTACACAATAAAGTGCACAATATTGGTTGTTATTTTCAATCTGCAGTCCATTGAGCATTTCATGCTATTACAAAAATGCTACATTTATCATTGAATTTACAGCTGAGACAACCAGGAGGTCTAGATTGAGCACCTCTCCTTCCAGTCTATCCCGACATCTGACACCACACTCCAGCCAATCCCGATCCAGACAAGCAACACCACCCTGCAGCAGGTTTCATTTGGAAAAAAAATTGATTTAAATAAAAAATGTAAATTTCATCCTGGAAGCCTGACTAATCCGAGCTTCATAGACATTCTGTAAAGCGATTATCATTTAAATCACCTTTTTTTGAGGTGATATAAATAACAATTTAAATCAAAGCAAAGTGATTTAAATTGCGGCAACCCTGTTTTCTCGACACTGATTGAACAAAATTTCAGTCTCATAAAGTAATTTCTTTGATCCTAAGGATTTTTTTTATAAAACGTTTAGATACGTGTATTTGACTTCACCGTATTGTATCAATAGTTTTGATCATTCATTGGTGAATTGACCATTAACATTAGTCCAAATGTGAGGTCATTATTTTATGTGAACTCAAAAACTAGTTAAAATTACATTTATTCAGAAAATATCAGTTTGAGTTAATATCTTTGTTCAAGATGTCACTTTAAAGTGATTATATTTAAAATCACTTTGTATAGCAGTTTTACATTATCATCGTCATTATGCACCTATTACAATTAAAGTAAAGATCAGTGGACTTGGTGCAGATCAAACAAGATGTTTATTTTGATGATACATGTATACAGTGGACTCGTTATAAAGAACACTGATATATGTATAACAAACTCTCGTTGTAACAGTCATTTTTTTTAGTAACCTTGATATAACAAAATTTTAATATAATAAAGTAATTTCACTGGTCCCAAGGAGTTTGTTATAACGAGTCCACTGAACATGTATTATTTTTTTATAGTCCATGTACAGTTTAGCTTCTAAGGTTTATTGTAATGCATGTATGTGTATTGTATCATGCAGTTTTCTTCTTGCTGATTGCAAGAAATTGTGACATTTTTCATGGTAAAACTATGTATACATTTCCCATATATTGTTTGTTACTTGTTACTTGTTTGAAGAGGAATATTGTTTCCTCAGAAATAAATTACAATACTCCATATACATAGTATTTGTGTGTGTATTTTTAGCTGTCATGGGAGCAAGGGTTTATATTTGCACCCATATATATCTTTAAATGTGCAAATTTGCACCCCTTAGGGTGCAATTATTAGCCAATATGGTGCAAAAATGCACCTTATACTGGGGTGCAATTTTCCACCCTATACAGGGGTGCAATTTTCAACCCCATGGGGTGCAAAAATGCACCCTATAGTGGGGTGTAATTTTCCACCCTATACAGGGGTGTAAATTTTCAACCCCATGGGGTGTAGCTATTGTACCAACCCCTAGGGGTGTAAATTTCAACCTTTATTTCTTAGTGTGATGGATGGATGGATAGATGCATGCATGCATGGATGTATGGATGGTTGAATGGTTGGATGGTTGGATGGTTGGATGGTTGGATGGTTGGATGGATGGATGGATGGATGGATGGATGGATGGATGGATGAATGGATAGATGGATGGATGGAAGGATGGATAGATGGATGGATGGATGGATGGATGGATGGATGGATGGATGGTATGGATGGTGGCATGGATGGATGGATATGGATGAATTGGATAGATGGATGCGGTTTTGGATGGATGGATGGATGGATGAATGGATGAATGGGTGGATGTGGTTTTATGATGGATAGATGGATGGATGGATGGGTGGAGGGATGGATCGATGGATGGGTGGAGGGATAAATGGATGGATGGATGGATGGATGAATGGATGATGGATGGATGGATGGATGGATGGATGGATGGATGATGGTGGATGGATGGATGGATGGATGGATGGATGGATGGATGGATGGATCGATGGATAGATAGATGGTTGTATGGATGGATGGATGAATGGATGGTTGGATGGATGGATGGATGGATGGATAGATAGATGGATGGATGGATGGAAGGGTGGATGGATGAATGCATACCATGATAATGTACGCTGTTTCGCTGGAGTTACTTTTTAATCATTCAGGCGGATAGGTCAACGTAGCATCTTATTTCAGATTGTCTGCGACAGATATAGAGTAGCTGTATTCCTTCTATCTACCACCAACGACGTGTCTACGACGTAATAAAGACACTATGTGACACAGACTGCATATGTCGTACGGCCAGGGCTGCAGTATGTTAGCGTGGTATATTAGAATTACAGAGCTAGAATGCAGCACGCTTGGTGAAGTAGAGCAAAGTAAGAGTCGTGAAATAGTGAAGTAGTGGGTAGTAAGTAGTGAAGTAGTGGGTAGTAAGTATGAAGTAGTGAAGTAGTGGGTAGTAAGTAGTGAAGCAGTGGTAGTAAGTATTGAAGTATTGGTAGTAAAGTAGTGAAGTAGTGGGCAGTAAGTAGTGAAGTAGTGGGTAGTAAGTAGTGAAGCAGCGGGTAGTAAGTAGTGAAGAAGTAGTGGGTAGTAAGTAGTGAAGTAGTGGGTAGTAAGTAGTGAAGTTTAGTGGTAGTAAGTAGTGAAGTAGTGGGTAATAAGTAGTGAAGTAGTGGGTAATAAGTAGTGAAGTAGTGGGTAATAAGTAGTGAAGTAGTGGGTAGTAAATAGTGAAGTAGTTGGTAGTAAGTTGTGAAGTAGTGGGTAGTAAGTAGTAAAGTTGTGGGTAGTAAGTAGTGAAGTAGTTGGTAGTAAGTTGGGAAGTAGTGGGTAGTAAGTAGTGAAGTAGTGGATAGTAAGTAGTGAAGTAGTGGGTAGTAAGTAGTGAAGCAGCGGGTAGTAAGTAGTGAAGAAGTAGTGGGTAGTAAGCAGTGAAGTAAAGGGTAGTAAGTTGTGAAGTAGTTGGTAGTAAGTAGTGAAGTAGTGGGTAGTAAGTAGTGAAGTAGTGAGTAGTAAGTAGTAAAGTAGTGGGTAATAAGTAGTGAAGTAGTGGGTAGTAAGTAGTGAAGTAGTGGGTAGTAAGTAGTGAATTAGTCGGTAATAAGTAGTGAAGTAGTGTAGTAGTGAAGTATGGTAGTAAGTAGTGAAGTAGTGGGTAGTAAGTAGTGAAGTAGTGGATAGTAAGTAGTGAAGTAGTGGGTAGTTGGTAGTGAAGTAGTGGGTAGTAAGTAGTGAAGTAGTGGGTAGTAGTAGTGAAGTAGTGGATAGTAAAAGTAGTGAAAGTAGTGGGGTAGTAAGTAGTGAAGTAGTGGGTAGTAAGTAGTGAAGGTAGTGAGGTAAGAGCGAATGTATGTGGAGCCAGAATGCAGCGCATGATTTCTCTGCAGTAAACAAGGCACGCGCAACAATTCACTTGTCGTCACCCCCTCTATTGCTCGCAAATCAAGTTCTCTTGGTATAC